TCATAAGAGAGCAAAAAAGGAAGGAAAGTAAATTGTCAGGAGTATCCCACTATTGCACTACACTTTTTGTGACGCCCCTACTTCTCCTAAGGGCGAACCCAAGGGTATCCGCGGGACGCTTGCCCAACTCTCGCCAAGACTTGAGACAATTCCAAATCAAACCTAGTCTAATACTAACAATGAAAGTTAGAATAAAGGTACGAAGTCATTTCCATACATAAATATCCAGTCTTACGTCACAATTTCAAATTTACAATCACTTTTCCCCAAAATATACAACGTCCAAAAGTGTCTAGTCGATTACAATTAAAACACTAATACAAAAGTGTCTCGAGTTGGCATATGCTTAACTCCTTCCAATCGGGTTCCTGTTAAGGAAAACAAACTAATAGGATGAGCCAATACTCAGTGAGGCCAAGAACCACACATGCAAACCCATAATCCAAATAGCAACAACAATTACATTGTAAGTAAAGCTATCAAGTTCAAATAATTCACACTTCGAACAGGAAAAATAAACAGAAACAATTCAAGGATACAGTATGTGACGGCCCCACCTCCCCCTAAGGCGAACCAGAGGGTTCGGCGGGCCGCCTGCCCAACTCTCGCCGGGACTCAGTCGATCACTACAATCCTCAAATGAATTACAATATAAATCTCAAATATACATCACATGGTCCACAAACATACATCCAAGTCTCTAATAATTACATGCCACAAATGCAGCGGAAACTGATTCCAATCGTGGAATGTATACTTACATCCATATCAATTTCAAATATTTATACAAGACCAACTCGTACATAAAATAGATCCAAACTTAAACTGTACACGATATAAGCCATCCAGTCACGTGAATAAGCACAACAAGCCCTTCCTTCGCCTTGAGCCCTGTGGGGGGAAAATAAAACATTTTTGGGGTGAGCTAAAAGCCCAGTGAGTAACCAGTAAAATCAGTAATCAAATAGTTTTCACAAAAATTCATTTCATTGATGTCATGGTTCAGAAATCAGATGTACGTATTTTTGCTCTCGTGAGCCAGTGAAATCATTGTAATGTTTTAGAAGTTCAATAAGTAACCGGGGGTAAAAATGTAATTTTGTTACAGGTCAACATTTGCACAGTGAGAGTAAAACAAAAGCAGAAAATGACACCACATGGTAATTCCACAAAGCTCAATGAGCTAAAATCTCAATAAGGTTCCGAACATGAAATTTCATAACAAAGCCAACACATTAACCATCAATAATCAATAATTCAAGAAACAATTACAATGGAAAGCGATAGTAACATATTCATTAAAAGGATACCGCTCACATGGAGCTATTCATTTGTTCGTTCCCCTGACATTTCCCCTTATTCCTCCAATTATTTGAAAATTTCATTTTTATAAATAAACCCTCGTTCATCTTTTTATTCGTTCATCCCCTTTTCCGGACGTTGACCGGACTCCACCCATCCGACGTTGGCCGGACTCCACCCATCCGGACGTAGCCGGACTACAAGGTAATACTCGAGTATACCAAATTCACCCAGGGTCACCATATCGCCCGACCGAGTCCGCTTCTGGCTCGAGTCGATCGGTAACGAAGGGCAGTGGCCAGTTCAGCCAAAAGGCTTACATCATGCGCAACTAGCATTTAATCATTAATCATTGAAAATTCATATTTATTTAGGTCGAGTGCGATAAAGTACACACTCGCCTAGAAAACTCGTTTTAACAATCATCGAAAGTACTTAACACATTTTCAATTAATAATGACAAGCCAATAAGTCAAGAATTACAGCAACCAAGGGACACTCATATGCAAGTACGCATGATATGCAAGAAAACAGTTCAAAAGTAACTTTTGGAAACAGTTTAAAAGTAAATAATGCAGGAAACGGTTCATAAAGAACTTCAGAAATAGTTTGAGGTCACTCACCTCAATGGCTCAGAAATCATCCATCATGTATCATTGCCTTGCTCAAACCCAAGTCTTAGATCACAAACTCAATGCAAACAAATCCTTTAAAAGTTCGGACAGCACTTCCCCTACATTTGCTAACTTTTCCAGCCATCATGGCTTCATTATTTCCTCAGCCAGTCCCAAAGGTACACACACAACAACAAGTTCATCCATAGTCATTCAGCAAGCTCCAAGTAATACTAGTGCAAGTCAAGCTAGGGGGAAAAAAATCCGGAAATGAAACTTAAGCTCAAAACCAGAAAAACAGTTTTGACGTCATTTTACGGTAATGGTACCAAAGGCGTTATGATTGTCGGAAGAAGGTGCAAGACCCACCGTTTCGAAGATAAGAGATAGGTCTACAACAATGTAGAAGGCCACTCAGTCCAAATCCTAGCACAACTAGGTCAAATGTGCCAAATACTCAACCGGAAACACCAAAAACAGGTTTACAAATCACATAATGCTGTAATTACTATAACTCAGTCTATACAGGTCCAAATGCCGAAATTCCAAAGGCATATGGTAGCTAAGACATCCAGATACATTTCATCAGAAGACACCAACACCTAAATCCAAAGCAATTCCAGTCAAAATGGCCAATTACAAGTGCAGTTTTCGCATTCTGATCAACCCAGAACAGCAACAGTAAAATCGGCATATCTCACTCTACACTAATCCAAATGACCTGAAATTTTACAGGCACTTCAAACTCATCAATACCTACAACTTTCATGTTTTGAGCAAAGTCCAATTCGGCCTCTAACATGGTGCAATAAATTCGGGCAGAATGAAGAACTACAAAACCTAATTTTCTGAAATTTCTTCCAAAACAGAAATTGATTGCACTTAATCACTTTTTCCACCTCCTAGAGTCATTAAACATCATTTCCAATCATCATACATGACCACCCAATCATATCCCTATGAAAACAGAAAAATCCCCAAAAATAATAAAACTTCACCAATTCAACCAAACTCAAGAAATAATCCATGAAATTGCATCTTATAACACCACTAATCATGAATTGAACATCATTAGAGGAAGGAGAGGTGTTCATCCACCACTTACCTTAGCAAAACAAGAGGGAGAGCTACTTGTCACCTTAAGCTTCCAAACAACTTCACCAAACAACTCACTATCACTAAAAGAAGAGGTTTTATGCAGTAGAAACTAGATCAAGCAAGTGTTTTGGAGGATTTGAGCTAGATAATTGCCAAACTTTGAAGAGGTTTTTTCTTCCTTCTTTGCTAGAGAGAGAATCAGCCAAGAGGTTGAAGACAAGAATGAATTTTGTGTGATTTTTAAGATATTTAAGCAATTGGTCAAAAAGTCAAGAAAATGAATAGTAAGTCATAAGCTATTTCCAATACAATGGTGACACTTGTCACCTCCATAAATGCAATCTTATCTTTTCTTTTTCCTCTCACATCAATGAATTCACATCCTCTACTTATCCCTTAACACCCGATAAATTTTACACAGTATCCGGAATTTAACCTAATTGGCCGAACTTTTCCGAACTTTTCGCACTTGTGGGTCCCACGTCCGTTATATATTCTTAATTTTCTAAAAACTCTCCAATACTAGGAAAATCATTTTAAAACTATTTTTGCTCATAAACTTTATCTGGGGAATTTTTCTAATCAAGAAAATGTAGGAAAACGGGCGATTAAAAAAATAAACCCTAGAAAATTACAAAATTTCCGGGTTCTCAAACTCATTTTTTTTTCGGGGCGTCACACAGTAGCTCTCAGGAGCTAAATTCCACGTAGTCGTGTCTAAGTCTTGATCACATCTCATGTTGACACTCCGTCAACCACATAAGTAGCAAGTCCATAGATACACCACTTTTCTTCGAATCCCGTCACCTTTAACCCCCTTACTAGGGCTCGCTCATCAAAATTTTGATAATACTCGAGTATATCATGGCAATACTGCGTGAGTAATGCCAAGCAAGATCTCTCCAATAGATCATGCTCTACGAATATCTCATGGTTTGCTAAGCTTATCGACCAAACCCATGCTGGCTCGATTCGCAAAGTTAACCAACGAGTTTGGGCGTCCCCCTGAATACGAATACGAATACCAATATGAATATAAGTCGATGAGCAATGCTCGAATCGACGATTCCAAATACGAATCACATATACGAACCACAAATACGGATCACATCCACATTACTATGTACAAGCCACACTACTACAAAAATACCCTTTTATGACATTTAAAAGCGTCATTATAGCTCGATGTAATGACGTTTCATCTATAATGACGCTCTGCTAAAAACGTCGTCCATTCTAACGTCACTATATGTTTATGACAGTTGAACGAGTCATAATTTATAATTCTGTTGACATTTATAAACTTCATTATTTATTGTTTTAATGACACTTTTAAATGATAAGAAATACTACACAGGAGTTAAGGTTATATGAATCTAAAGTGATACTCTTAACTGTCATATATTGGATCTATCTTGACACTTCTATTATGTAAGTACAATAAAATATTATGCGACATTTGCAGTATAAGTAGACTGAAATATTGTGACACTTTATGGTGTAATTAGATTAGGTTGTTCTGACACTTGTTAACGTGAAATTTTGTGAATATTATGAACCGTAAAAATCGAAGTGGTGACACTTTTAAGTGTCAATACATCATATTGCATTAGCCCTGTGTACCATCCGGATTTTTATACCCAAAAGTAGAAATCACATTTCATCCTGCCTGCACAATGTAGATTCTAATTTTTGGAATAATAAAGTTATTAGTACCACCTTATAAAAGAAAACCAAAGTGATTTACATTTTCATAGGCTGATAGTGCAATACAATCAGCCAAACTAGTGCAAAAGTACATCATCCAAGCAACTTACATGGCTGCTATATATATCAACGAATTACATGCCAATTAAGAGATTTTTCAACAGTAAGTATTGCAGTAGCATTTCCAGTACATATCAAAAAAGCAATACTTCAACAAGAACTCAACAAAAAACGCCTTGTCAATGTCTTCAAAAAATAGCCAGTTGACCCAAGGATCCTTTAGTTTTCTTCAAGATTCACCTACAAGTGTCATAAACCAAGAAATAGGAGTTATAAATCACATCTACAGCTCTTCTTTTACAGTTTTAATGTTAGAAAATAAATAAAAACTAAGTTAAACAAATGATAAAGATAAGATAAAAAGATTACTAGGTTTATTGGCCAAGCAATAGCTACTCCAATTGCATCTCCAATCTTGCGAAAATTATGGTATGGCCTCATTAGCTCTTCATCATTCTCCACAGGCACATTCACATGGATTTCACACCAATGTGATCCCAAAGATGTGTCACCAACTTCAGCAGTTGGATCCAAATTTCTAACCACTCCAACAGCACAAATTTTGTTCGAATCAACCGTGCTTCTTATTGTAACTTTATCCCCAACCTTGAAAACAAATTTTATAAAGCATATAACCAGATATAAGAGAGCACATCTTGAACAGATATTCAATACATAGTACCACAAGAACCAACCCAAAATGACAGCCACAACAAGTACTAAAACCAAAGTGCAGTCCATTACAATCAATAATGATATTCAAAACAAGAATCTCAACAATTAAATAACATATAGCAATTATGAACTTGCTCATGAAAATCATTTGCGAACGCAGCATCTAAAAAAAGTCATAATTGAGCTATTTATTACCTTTATCGACCGAAGAATAGCATTTGTAGAATGTGAAGTAGATCTTTGCTGAGATGGTGAATTTTGTCCTTGTGATCCTCCTTGTTGAATTGATTCTAGTTGCTGGAGTCTTCGCTCCATTTTTGACATCGCAGCTCTTTGTTCCATAACCAAGCGAAAACATGTTGAACGACTTGGTATATCACCCCACAAATCAGATTGTGTAACTCCTAAACCATATGTACGAACTCTTCCACTCCTTTCTTCACCCATTACTTTTGCAAACACGTCATTCCTACCCACACTATCTTCTTCTCCTTCTGGAAGTTGATTTTTTAAGCTTTCCATCTCCTCCTAAAATTAACAATTCAAAGTTACTATATTCTCGTTCTTATTGTAACAGAAAAAGCTTGTTTATGAATGAAGTGAATAAGCAGCAATAACATACCATTTTTTCCCCAGCTTCATAACTAGATGGCACTCCATTAGAATTAGTGTATCATATGGTGAACATATCTGCTCTAGAGAGAGAATGCCCAACCTCTCTTTCCTACATATAATAGTACATCCAAAGAATATATCAGAATAAAAAATTAGATGTTGTTACCAATTTATATGTTATACCTTATCTACTCGAACTTGAGCGAATGGCTTTTTCCCTGTACTATGATTCATCTTTTTCTTCTCTCGGTGCTCCTTGTTTGTTGCAGATATTCTCTACATATTTAAACATAACACATAATAGTTAAGTATAGGCAAACAGAAAACAAGATCACGACTATGACAATATTTCATACCTTTGACTCTTCGGAAAGCCAGTTAGTTAAGATATTTCTCCATTGCTGTGGAAGAACTCGTTTTGGTCTTTTAAGCACCTGACTTTCAATTGCCTCATTTGGATTGAAATAAGTTTTCTTGAGAGCATGCTTCTAGCTCTCCATTTCTTTCCTACTGATTGCTTAACTAGTTCTTCTACGCCAACAGGAAGATCAAATTTTTCCTGTAATATTGGATACTTAATTAAAAGAGAACAAGCATTCAACTAATGTAGTACATTCAAGAAATGGATACCTTTACTACATCTATCATGTCATTCTTTAAAGACTTGGGAACCTTACGCCAACTATCAATGTCAATTGGTGCATATTTTCCAATTCTTGCCAATGCTCCCAAAAATTCATTGAATTTGCTTCTATTTGTACCAACTGGCTGACCAAATGTATTGAATTTCACTTTAATTCGCTTGTCAGTACCATGTCTACCCCAAATGTGTCTCATATAAGTTGGTCCCTATGTTTTCTTAGGTTGCTCATCATCAGAACCACCACCTGCAAGTATAATAGACAATTATGACATATATCTTATGAAGTAGAAACTATTGTTATAGATATATTTAAATGAAATATTAAGTAATTAGTAATGAATAACGTACCAGTGGCTTCCTCATTTTCCAAATTTTCAGGATCTTCATCACGCAATCGAAAGCTCCTTTCTCCTCGATAACTTTTTCCTCCTCTTGTTCTCGCCATATTTGTACAACTACAATTTTAAATTGTAAATTGAAAGTGTACAGCTAACAGCATATTACCATGAAATAAACAATTTGCCATGAAAAATTTAAGAATGTAGATACACCACAATTCAATACATAAAAAGCAACTGAATTTACTGGACATTAAAGCAAAACCAACAGATAACATTCATTTAATTTATATAAAATAATAAAAGATCATCCATTGGAACTTGATGCCACTCTAGTAGTATCAACTATTTCTCCTATGACACCTTCTCGAATCCAATTAATGTCATCAAATAACACTTTGATGACTACTTGAAGGCTGACTTTGCAAGTACATTTCAACGTCTATGGGATCCATCTTTAGATCATCTCGTGGTACAGTTGGAATAACAACATTCCAACCCTTATCCAAAGGATCCTCTACGTAAAATACTTGCTTCACTTGGAATGCAAGAACGAAGGGTTCATGGTGGCGCTTCACATTTATAAAATTCACAAGTGTAAACCCATCATCATCTTGTTTCAATCGTTTTCCCTTAGAGACCCAATCACAGTCAAACAAAACCACTCTTCAACCTCCACCTTAGCCCAATTCCAGAATATCATTTAAGATACCATAATAGGCCAAGTCACTTGAAACCGGATTCATATCCTTGGTGCTTGCGAAACTTGATGTTATTGCAGTAACAATCACCCCACTATTCTGATTTTTTCTTTTGCTCTCCAAATCTTTTGTATGAAATCTAAAACCATTCACAATGTATCTCTCATACTTCAAACCCACAACATTTGGACCCTTGGCCAATAATCTCAAGTCTTTTGAGATAACTTCATTCTCGGGTAGGAAATCATCCACCTATGCAAAATAAAAAAGTAAATTAATAAAATAATAATACAAATTTTTATTTGTAAAAATACAATGATACTTTGTATATTAACTCACATGACTGTCAAACCAATTTGCAAATGTCTCGCTATGAATCCGCTCCTTTTCATGTCTTGAGCTATGCGAATACTGCTCTTCAACCAATTTACGATGTTCTTCACCAATTATAAAAGTCAATCAAGATAGTTGTCTATATACATTATCCATTATTAAAGATGATTAATTTTATAAAACAAGTATAGAGTACAATTACTTACTTGATATATGGATCCATGGCTTCACAATTGAATATCACATATTGATGTGCCTTTTTTATGGTTTCATCATCCATTACAACAGAATTTCCTTTTCCTAATGGCCGACCTTGCATAGAAAAAATCTCAAGTCCTTCAGTTGAACTTTCACCTCCATCTTCATTTCTACTTGGTTGATTGAACTTAGTTATCACTTCATCAGATAAGTAGAGAGAGCAAAATGTCAAGCACTCATCAACTAGGTACCCCTCTGCAATTGAACCTTCAGGCCGACTTCTATTTCGGACATAATTTTTCAAAGTGCATAGGTACCTAAGATAATCACAAAAGTAGTAAGTGATTAATAATAATACTCACATAGCAATAAAATAGAAATTATAAAGTTATAAAAATTACCTTTCAATTGGATACATCCAACGATAATGTACTGGACCAGCTATCCTTGCTTCGGTTGCCAAATGACTGGTCAAATGCACCATTATAACAAAAAAAGATGGTGGAAACACGCGCTCTAACTAGCATAGTACAATAGCAATTTCTTTTTCCATACGAAGCAGTTCCCAAGGACAAAGAGCTTTACAACATAAATCTCTAAAGTATTTGGACAGCTTTATCAACGGAGACCGCACCGATTTTGGAAGAAGTTTTCTATAACATAGTGGTAACAGTTGCTGCAATAATATATGATTGTCATGACTCTTAAGTCCGGTTAGTTTGGGAGGTTTCAAATGCACGGACTTTGAAATTGTGGCTGAATAACCATCCGGTACTTTAACCTTTTTCAGAATTTTACAGAATAACTCTTTCTCCTTCTTATCCAAATAGAAACATGTTGGAGGCAAGTATGCTCTCCCAAACTCATCTGTAATAGGATGAAGACCTGCTCGTATGCCCATTTCTTCCAAATCACGCCGTACACCAAGGTTATCATACTTGCCATCCACATTCAATAATGTTCTAACTATAGTCTCACATACGTTTTTTTCAATATGCATGACATCAAGACAATGACGTAACAAATTGTTCTTCCAATATGGCAAGTCAAAAAAAATGCTTTGTTTCTTCCAATTAAAGGGCAATTCAGGGTTATCATTGACTGTCTTCCCAAATTTGATTCTATAAGACCTCAACTCCTCCAAGATCATATCTCCTGTCAAGCGAGGTGGTGCAACTCCATGTTCTTCCTTTCCATCAAAGTGACGTTTATCTTTTCGATATGGATGCTCCTTTTCCAGAAATTGCCAATGACCCATGTAACATTGTTTTGAACCATGTCTTAAATGGTGTTAAACGGTGTGCTTATGACATACTGGACATGCTAAATAACCTTTAGTACTCCAACCAGATAAATTAGCATAACCAGGAAAATCACTAATGGTCCAAAGTAAAGCAGCATGCATCTGAAAATTTTCCTTTGATGATGCATCATAAGTGGACACACCTACATCCCACAATTCCTTTCCTTCAACTCAGCTATAAGAGGCTGAAGGTAAATATCAATGTTATTCCCAGGTGCATATGGCCCAGGAATGAGTAGTGACAACATAAAGTATTGCTGTTTCATGCACATCCATGGTGGCAAATTATAAGGCATCAGTACTACTGGCCATGTACTATGGTTCACATTCATATTTTTAAATGGATTAAATCCATCAGAAGCTAAACCCAATCTGACATTACGAGGATCTTTCGCGAATTCAGGATTTTGGTAATCAAATAATTGCCAAACTGGAGTATCTGCAAGATGTCTCATGCGACCATTCTTAGCACGGCCCTCGACATGCCATTTCATGAAAGATGCTGTTTTAGATGACATGAACAGACACTGCAATCTGGGTTTAAGCGGAAAGTGCCACAAAACCTTATGGGCAACTTTTCTTTTTTCAGCAGTAGGATCATCCTTTGTTCCTTCCCACCGTAGATGTTTACAAGTGTCACATTTTATCTTTGATTCATCTTTTCCCCAATACAATGTGCAATCATTAGGACAGGCATCATATTTTTCATATCCAAGTCCTAATTCTTTCATTATCTTTTTTGCCTCATAAAAAGAATTGGGTAGATTTACACCTTCTGGGAGTGCTTGCCTCAACAAATCAATAAGTATATTAAATACAGAATCGGGTATTTTGCTGAGACATTTAATATGTAACAAGCGGACCAGAAAAGATAGTTTAGAGAATTGTGGGCAATCTGGATAAAGGGGCTGCTTCGAATCATTTATTAAATTGTAAAATTTTTCTGCATCAATATTCGGTTGTTCTGTTTCTAATCTTTCTCCCATATCTAGGTCCTGGTTTAGAACTCCTAATGCATTTTGTAACAACCCCTGCATATCATCTATGGGATTGAGTGGTGGAACTTCATTTGATGAGCCATGTGAAGATGTATGATGCAAATTCGAAGATACCTCTCCATGAGCTAACCATTGAGTATATCCCTTAATAAACCCTTTCCATATCAAGTGTGATTTGGCCTACTCTCTCGTGACAAATATCCCATTTCCACACCTAATGCATGGGCATAAAATCATCTCCCCTATACTTCCATTCGTAAATGCAAAATCAAGAAAATCTTCTAAACCAGCTTTGTACTCATCACTTGATTGTGACATACTCATCCATCTTTTATCCATGTTCACATAGATTCTAATTATAAAAAAAAAAAGAAAGCTTCATTAGCATCTACAAGATAATTCTACCTAAACTATTACTGATTTTTGCATGAAACATTTACTTAGATAAGAAAACTAATTTCAACAGGATTAATAGAAGACGCAAATCACACATGGAATATCTTCTAAAATAAAGCTACCAAAAGTATCAAAACTATGTTGTAAGAACTAATCCAAGTGTTCTAGGCAGTTCAAAACAGAATGTTCACATATCCAGGTGTTCTAGACTTTTGAGTAATAAGAACTAATCCAAAAGTATCAAAATAGAATGATATCAAAAGGAAAGACAGCAAAAGTTCAATTTCAGATTGTAAGATACAAACTATCGAACAGATGGTATGTGAGGACTCATAAAAACTATTATTTTATGCCTAATTTATGGCTTAATAAATTATTTAATTGGATTTTTGCCACGAGGAATATTTTCTAGTCTTATTAGACCTAAATACATGGTAATATAATTTCGTTATATTTTTAAAGTGATTCGTTTCAAAAATTAATTTCCTGGAGCGCGTTTAGTAAAAATAGTGAATAGTGCTTGGAGATTTTATCCGCGTAGTAGCACAATAAGCTTGGAATATTGGAGACTTGTACTATGGTCCTAAAATAGGTAATCTTATGAATAAATACTCAAGTGATAGTTAGTAGTGCAATCGTTATAAGAATTTATTGGAAGTTTCGCGTTATAGCGTTAAAATTGACGGTACGCGTTTTCACACGCGCGACTTTATTTGAGGGACTTTAGACCCTTATTTCGGGACAATTAAGAGTGAATAATACTTACATGAATATAAATGCATTGGAGGTTTAGTGCACTAGTGAACCAACGCGCGAGAAAATCGAGCCTAAAACGTGCCAAACGAGCCCTAATAAGGGTTGACTTTGGAGTGAATGTGCACCACTCATTTAATCTTCTCTTGGAAGCTAACTTTGATCAAAATTCAC